TGCCTCTTTTTCTAAATATGCTATAAGATTCACCCAAACTGGAAGCAATACAAATGCCCACCAACAGTAAAATTTGCATTTCTTTGATGATTAGTGGTGTTGAGCAACTGTCTTTTCATATGGCTCTTGGCTATCTGTACATCCTCTTTGGAGAAGTGTCTATTCAAGTCTTCTGCCAATTTTTTAATTGGATTGCGTTTTGGTGTTGAGTTTTCTGTTGTTTTTTTAAATAACTTTTAGATATATAACCCCTTATCAGATGTATCAGATGTATCACTGGTGAATATGTTCTCCCATCCAGAGTGTTATCTTTTCATTCTGTTGAAGGTTTCCTTTGCTGGGCAAAAACTTTTAGTTTGATGTAATCTTATTTATTTTTCCTTTTGTTTCCCTTGCCCAAGGAGATATATCAGAAAAAAATATTGCTATGAGAAATGTCTTAGATTTTCCTCCCTATGTTTTCTTCTAGGATTTTTATGGTTTTGAGTTTATGGTTTATCTATTTGGAGTTTATTCTTATGTGTAGTGTAAGTTAGTGGTCTAGTTTCATTTTTTTTTGCACGTATTTGTCCAGTTTCCCCAACACCATTTATTGTATAGGCTAGACTATTGTATGTTTTTGCCTCTTTTGTGAAATACTAATTGACTCATAAAGGCATGAGTTTATTTCTGTGCTGTCTTTCATAATATCTCATTTTACAGTTCTTTTTGGCTTCAATTTCTGTTCAAGCCCTATTAATTATATAGTCAATCAAAGAGGTTCTAGAAGGTGTGTTTCTTTCTCCAACTACTTGATACTTGTTACTAATGAATCCTTTGTCTAATACCATCTGTGCAACCACTTTGTTCATTTTTCATATCACTTATTTTCTCAATAATGCTAACTTTCTGCTAAAATAGGGGTGTGGGGGGGAAATACCATTAATGCTCCTAAGACCTTGTATTTCAGCCCCAGACTAAAAAGCCACTAGAAATACATGAGATTTCTTGCCTCACTCATTTTACAACAAATCAATAGCTGTGAGTCAGATTTCACAGGTCTGATATGACTTGTCGAGCATTTGGTGAGAACACTGAAATTCTAGAAGCAAACACAAGTACTTCTCAACATTTGTGAAAGAGATCAGAATGATCATCTTAATTGAGATCAGTAAAAATCAACAAATAGGATTAAACCTCTCCCACACACAAAACCTAAAATATGATTTGAAAATTTTATTTGATGAGGATATGTGTTTATCTTCAAAGAACTCTCCAACAAGAATTGTTTCTCATTAAGAAAAAATGGAACTAAATATAGACACTTTTTTCAATTACAGTTGACATTAAATATCATACTAGTTTCAAGAGTATAGTATAGAGATTAGACATTTATGTAATTTTTGAAGTGATGACCCCAATAAGTCTAGTACCCACTTGGCACTTTACATAGTTAGTACAATATTATTGACTATAGTCCCTTTGTTGTATTTTACATCCTTGTGACTATTTTGTAACTGCCTTCTGTACTTCTTAATCCCTTCACTTTTTTCACCCAGTCCCCACAACAACCCCTCCCATCTGGCAATCATCAATTTGTTCTCTGTATCTCTAAGTCTATTTCCATTTTATTTATTCCTTAATTTTGTTCTTTAGATTCCACATATAAGTGAAATCATATGGCATTTGGCTTTCTCTGACTGACTTATTTCACTTAGGATAGTACCCTTTAGATTCATTCATGCTGTCACAGATGGTATACTTTAATTCTTTCTTTATGGCTGAGTAATATTTCATTGTATATATGTACCTCATCTTCTTTTCCAGTCATCTACTGATGGGCATTTAGGTTGATTCCATATCTTGGCTATGGAATCATAGTGCTGCAATGAATATTTATCTTTTTGAATTAATATTTTGGGTTTCTTCAGACACATACCCAGAAATGGAATTACTGGGTCATATGGTAGTTCTATCTTATTATCTTGAGGAACTTCCACAGTTTTCCATAGTGGATGCACCAATTTGCAATCCCACCAATAATGCATGAGGGTTCCCTTTATTCCACATATTTGCCAACACTTGTTATTTGTTGATTTCTTGATGATAGCCAATCTGACAGGTGTAAGGTGATATCTAATTGTGATTTTAATTTGCAGTTCCCTAATGATTAGTAACACTGAGCATCCTTTCATATATCTATTGGCCATCTGTTTATTGAGACACACCCTTTTATATTCAAAATGTCATCACAGAGCATCATGGTGGAACAAATAGACCCATGTATATCTTCCCTTAAATCTACAACTAACCAGACATCTTTAATGCAATAAAAGTTACTCTGTTCAACACACTAGCAAGCTTGAGAGAGACACACATTGGTACATCTGAAGGAGGGTGTAATGGAACACTTAGGGGAGGCAAGATGAGGGAGAAAACAGGGATGGTGTCAGCAGATGTGGTTCCACAGCCTCCATGGCTAGCCTGTGGCCCCAGCTAATGGGGTCATGTGGAAGAGTCAGGGTGCAGCGCTCACACTATGGCCCAGTGGAGAGTAAGAGGGATAGAAACAGCATTGGCACCTGAGAACCTACTTCCTCCTCCCTTACTGCAGTGGAGCCTGGTAGCAAAAGCAAAGACATGTCTCTGGTCTCCCAGCTCTATATCGCGCAGTGGCACCAGCCAGGAAGGGAACCAGGTAACCGAGCACTGGGTTCACAAAGCAACCTCACACATCACCCACCACATCCTCACACCATAGTAGTGAGGCCTCCAGACCCAGAGGAACAAAATACAGCAGAGCACTCACCACCCTATCACCCAGGTGGCAACTCCCATGACCACAGAGGTGACCCCCCCAACCTCAGGGGCAAGTAGAATTGGTAGGAGAAAACAGAAGCTTGTACTAGACCACCATCTACTGGTAGACAAAACAAAGACCTCTAATTATCAACCTGCTGAATTGCTAAAATCAAAACAGTACCTAAATAAGAAAGATATTCACTACTTTAAATATTCCAGCAGAGGAACAACCCAATGAGTACCATGAACAGTTAAGGTAACATGGTAACACAGAAAGAAAAATCACAGTTCTCCAGAAACAAAACTCAGTCATGGAAGATAGAATTATCTAAATAATAAAGAATTCAAAATAGCAGTCATGAAGAAACTCAGTGATATACAAGAAAACCCAGAAAGGCAGGTCAATGAGCTCAGGAATAAAATTAACAAACCAAAGGAGTAATTTACCAAAGAAATTTAAACTATAAAAAAATAACCAAACAGAAAGTCTGGAGCTGAAGAACTCAGTAAATGAAGTGAAGAAAGCATTAGAAAGCATTAGGAAAAGGACAAACCATGTGGAAGAGAGGATTCATGAGGTTGAAAATATAAATCTAGAAATGATTCAGGGGGAAGAGGAGAGAAAACTCAGATTTTTAAAAAATGAAAGAACTGACCAAGGGATCAGAACTGAGATCTGAGGAATAAATCCACATATGTATGGGCCGCTAATTTATAAAAGAGGAGCCAATAACAAAAATGTTCAACAACACTAATTAGAGAAATGCTCATCAAAACCACAATGAGGTATCATCTCACACCTATTCAATGGCTGTTTTCAAAAAGACAAGAAATAACAAGTGTTGAGGAGGATGTGAAGAAAACGTAACCCTTGTACACTGTTGGAGGGATTGTAAATTGGTGCAGCCATTATGAAAGCAGTATGGAGTTTCCTCAAAAAATTAAGAATAGAAATACCATATGACTCAGTAATTCCTCTTTTGGGTATTCATCCAAAGAATATTAAAATCTATCTATCTATCTATCATACATAGATAGATAGACCCCTATGTTAACTGCATCATTATTTATAATAGCCAAGACTGGAAACAACCTAAGTGTCTACTAGTGAATAAATAGCTAAAGAAGACATAGTAGATAAACATGAAGGAATATTCCTCAGCCATAAAAGGATGAAATATTGCCATTTGTCACAACATGAATGAATCTTGAGGGTATTATGCTAAGTGAAATAAGTCAAACAGAAAAGGCCCCAAACCACTCATATGTAGAATATAAAACAAAAAAAGTAATGAACAAAACAAAAACAAACTCATACATACAGACAATAGAATGGTTGGTTACCAGAAGGGAAGGTTGTTGGGGGCGAGGAAGATGAGGAAAGGGGGTCAAATATATCATAACAAAAGGAAACTAGACTTTTGGTGGTAAACACACAATAGAGTATACAGGTACCAAATTACAAGGTTATTCGCCTGAAATTTATATAATGTTATTAACCAATGTCACTTCACTGAAAATAAATAAAATGTCTTCATAACTAAAGAACAGTAATTTATGTGTAATCTGAAAGATGGATAACTTATAACTCAAGTGTCAAGAATTTTTCAGGTGGTTTTTGTTTGTTTGTTTTGTTTTCATTACTGTCAATGTACAGGGGAGAGGATATTCTCATTCTTTGCTTCATGCAGATTAATAAAATGAACAAAGTTTTGGCTACCAAATTTGATAAGTATATATATTGAAAAATCTAGGATGCTGCTTAACAACCTTTCCCCCCAGCTTCATTGAGGCATAACTGATGTACCAAAAAACTGCACATATTTAAAGTATACAATCAGATGCATCTGGCACATGTATGCACCCATGAAGCTATCATCACAATCAAGATGGTGAATGTATTCATTACCACCAAGTTTCCTTGTGTTTCTTTGTGATCCCATGAATCCCATGTCTACAACCCCCACCCCAGGCAATCACTGATCTGAATCTCACTAGAGATTACTTTTCATTTTCTAGCATTTTATATGAATGAAATCATAAAGTATTCTTTTTTGTTTTGCTTCTTTTCTTCAGTAAACTTATTTGATATTCATCCATGTTGCTGTGTCTATCAATAGTTCATTCCTTTTTACTACCTGTTAGTTTTCCATTCTGTGGCTATATCTCAGTTTATTCACCCAAACCTTTGATTTATAACTGAACCGATGTCAATGAACTGTGCCTTCCTATACAGCTTCAAGAATGAGGACGAAGTGGGAGAGGCCATCAGAGAGAAGATAGCAGAAGGATGGGTGAAGAGAGAGGATATTTTCTACTGCGGAAAGGTGAGAGCTTCCCTTCCCCTCCATCCCCTCATATTAATGATGGACCTGATGTCACTTTTCTCTGCCTAATTTCAGAATATTTTCATGGTTTGATTCCGTCAAGGGCACATGCCTGGATTGCAAGCTCAATCCCCAGTAGCGGGCATGCAAGACTCGGCCAAATAATGATGCTCTCTCATCGTTGATGTTTCTATCCCTCTCCCCCTCTCACTTTCTCTCATTTCAATAAAAAATATATGGGAAAACGAATAAAGAGCTACATTATTATTATTTTTTTTTAATAGCGTGAATGTTAGTTCACTATCCCCTCTTTTTCTTTCAGCTGTGGTCTACCCATTTTGAACCAGAGAGGGTCCGCCCATACCTGGAGAAGACACTCCAGGCCCTCCAGCTAGATTATGTTGATCTTTACATCATTGAAATGCCCATGGCTTTTAAGGTGAGTTCAGACACCTAAAGGTTTGGTCTCTGCTCTTTGGCAGCCACAAGCCAGCAGCCATGGGTATGAAACTAGTTAATTACTTAGCACCATAGAATGTTATCATTTTGTTACCATAGGTTAGACAACACTGGCTAGCCTAACAAATGCCCAGAAAGATTATGTGTAGCAGACTTAGGCTTGGATCCCATGTTTCTTGATTCCTAATCGAATGCACTTTTATTATAGCATGTCTTTACAACTGTAATTTAAGTTGTCCATCAAACCATCAAGTAGTCCCCAAACAGTAGTCCAATTTTACCTGTCCAGCACACCCTTCTTCCCATTCACATAGTCATGAAAATGTTCCTGCACAACATAATGCAAAATAATGTATACACCTGAAAACTTACTCACCTTCCACCGCTCCAAAGGGACATAACCCAAAGAATGGTCAGGTTTTGGGGTAGAGGAGGTCAGCAACAAGATCAGGGTGATAGCTATTCCTCTAATTCAAATGCACTTCTTCTTTAAACTTTCTCAATTTATGGACTCTGTGTTAATTTAACCACCACCAACACATCCCATATACACTGCTGAAGAGAAGTAACTGCTTTCAAATGTCTCTGAGAAAGGAGAGACTGAAAATGAAACTGGTCATTGAGATACCCAGATTTCTTTCACATGAGCAACCTGGCTGCCCCTGTTCTGTTCTCCGGAAGCTCTTTCCTTGATGACTCTCCTCTGTGGTAACATCTAAGAGGAACTTTGGTAGATTCCCCTTTTGCATTCTTCATACGAATTTGCAAGCTTCACAATGGCCTTGGTTAAGTAAAGGCCAGTTTGGGATTTCGTGGACAGTCAATATTCCTTAAAAATTTGCTTGGCTTTCAGTAAATTCACATTCAGTCAGCTCCATTAAAGAGTAATTAAAATTAGAAATCTTCTTGTATCTAATCTTTAGTCTGTGGTTTCTGCATCTTAGTAAAGAAATATCCTATTCCCGCTCATCTGATCAGTCCTTAGCTTAATGCCCCTTCTGACTTGAAATAATACAAAACAGGGAGGCACAGGTCATGCATTCTTTTCACCCAGTCTCCATCTCATTGGATGGTGCTCCTTTGTTGGTTGTGGCAACACTGGCCTGAGATCTTGTCTTCAGAGAGAAATGGACAAGGACTCTCCCAAAGACCAATTTTATTTCCCTCTAGGATTCTTACCTTCCTGTCCTGGCTGACACAGACTTTTCTAACTCCAGAAGGCTCAGAGCCGAATTTCTGCCATTTGGGGAGGCATCTAGAAACCCCACCATCCCCAATCCCATTCTGCCCTAGCCAATTCCACACTCTTTGTTCATTACTTGCCATACCCAACACCTTTGTTTTAGTCAGAACTCTTGTTATAAATGGCAGAAACCCAACTCAAATTGGCATTAGCAAAAAAGGGAACTGAGAATTCCAAGGCATATCTAATTCCAAAGGGCTGGATCCAGAAGTTCAAACTCTGTATCTACACTCTGGCCCTTTCTCTATTCCTGTGTTCTGGTGGCTTAATTCTCAAAATTTTCTTTCTATATGATGGCAAAATGCCCATTGACATGCCAAGACCACATCACAATACAACTTAAGGATTCAGAGGAAGAGAGACTACACATTAAACCTCACAGAGAAACGTGGATCAACCTTGCTTGGGTCACGTAACTTCTGCTGACTAATCTTTGTGTAAGGACATGGCTGACTGACATCTTTGGCCAAGAGTTGGAGCTGTAGAATGAGCTCTTCTATAGAAGAAGGTAGAATGGTACCTTCTACCATAAGAATGGTAGAAAGCAAAATAACAGATTGCCACTGTACTCATTAATCAGAGGTCACTTAGCACGCATGGTGATACGAAGCATGAGCTCCAGAACCAGGGTGCCTTGTCTGAATCCCAGCTCTGTCACATGTGAGCCAGATGACTTGGTCAAGTTATTACCTGATCCCTTTACACATCACCTAAACATGGTCCAATGGAGTTTGGAGTCACGCAGAAGAGGGACTTTCAGCTTTATTACCTACTAGTATTAGCATAGTATCTTTGATATTCCTGAACTTTCTTTCAATTTCATTATTGGTAAATTGAGACAATAATAACTCATTTGCCTAGTGTTGTGAGGAGTCATTAAAATTATAATATGAAATTACTGACACAATGCCTGACATTTCATAGATAATAAAAAATAATATTATGAAATGATCCAGTAGAAATATATATTCCAACATATAGAATATCTTCATTTCACAAAAGAGAAAGTTGAGGCCCCAGGCAATGAAACAGCTAACTCAGGTTTAAAATCCATCAGAACTGGGATCAGATTCTAAATCACCTGATGCCATTCCAATATTTGTTTCCTGAAAATATACAGTCCCTTCTGCCTTTTTTTTTAAATGAGGAATGGCATTTTTAAAAAATAAATGAAGATACTGATGAATAGGAATGAGAATCAATAGCATAGATTTTTAGAGGGTTGAATTAGTCTTCTAATACTGTCTTCAGTATGAGCAGGAGTGGAGGGAGAAACACCATGGAATGATTCAGATGAGGGGTGAGTAAAGGAGGCACAATGGAAGCTTAAGAAGAACATGCTTAAGAGGAATAGCTAACATGGGTTCAGGGATGATAGGACTTAATTAAAGCCTTGGAAAGTAAAAAGTATTTAACACAGTGTATGATAGAGGCATAAAACCATTGCAAACAGAAGTAAAATTGGAAAATGCAAAAGGCAAGAAATACGGAGGGAGACTGAAGTGGAAATGTGGGCCATAGTGTTGAGAATTTCAAAGAGCTTGGGAAGCAGAAACAGAAAGGGTAATTAACATGAATGATTATGTGGCATTGAGGAATAAGGACCCTTTTCCCTGCTCTAAGTGAGACAGGAAGAAATTGAGTCAAAACTGTGTTTGCTAAAGAAGGTGTTATCACCAGGGGAAAGTTTTATTCGGATGAGATAGTGGAAGAAAAAAAAAGGTTTTTTTTAATATAATGAATTTTGCCTTAGCTGGTTTGGCTCAGTGGATAGAACGTCAGCCTGCGGACTGAACATACAGTCCCAGGCAAGGACACATGCCCTGGTTACGGGCTCGATGCCTCGTTGGAGCGTGCAGGAGGCAGCCTATCAATCATTCTCTCTCATCATTAATGTTTCTATCTCTCTCTCCCTCTCCCTTCTCTCATATATATAATAATAAATTTTATCCAATTGCTTGATTTTCAATAAAAATTCCTATTATCAAGGTCTACAAAGACTTGTATGCTAAAACCATACCCAATAGACACTGTATCCTCATATTATTTGATACCTTTCAACACAGTTGTCTACTATCTCCAGTATACATTTTCTTCTTGTGACTTATATAATAACCACCCTCTCTTGATTCTTTGGTAGCTTCTCTGCCAACCTCCAAATGTTGTTATGCCCAGAATAGTACCTCTGTTCTCAATATTCTTGTCTTACTGAGCCACACTGTGTCTATAAGTGACCTAATATAGTTGCAAGGATTGATTATTATTTTATATGTAAGGGCTACCAAATTTTGTCTATAGCCATGACCTCTTTCTGAGCCTCTTTCTGAGATTTCTCTGTTCAACTGCCTTCTCAAATGGCCACTTGAACGTTTGGTCATTTCAAACTCAAAATATTCATAAAAAACTCTTGATTGCTAACCCAAACTCAGGAAATGATTACCACCATCCACCCCAGGAGCCTAGGAATCATCTTTCATTTCTCTCTACAGTGGGGTCTTGACTTATGAATGTCCCGACTAACGAGTTTTTTGAGATATGAGCTGTCTCTCAGCCGATTTTTTGCTTTGAGTTGCGAGCTAAAATTCGGGTTACAAGCCAGCTTCAGCTCTGTCATGTAATGAATTAAACTCGTAAGTCAAGGCCCTACTGTATTCCATTTCCAAGCCCATAAGAAATGGATCTCATGTTTAGATACAGCCAAAAAAGAGAAATCTGAAAGATAATGTTCCACACCAGTTAGCCTTAGTTGAGAAAGGATCACCCAAAAACAAGAGAAGGAAAGTTGACATTAATGTGTGAAGTAGGAAAAAAAATTGCTGAACTCCTGGAGGGTCCCAAAATGAAAGGAAAAAAAACAGTGAGCAAGTCCACCAGAACTGAGAAGTAACACGCCGTGCTGTCCTCAACTGTCAAAACACTGAGTCTCAGTCCTAATTCTCAATCTCTACTCTTTTTTGATGAGTAATTCTGTCATTAGGAGAAAGTTCATGGGTTAAGAATAAGGATAATCTGTTGGTAAATAAAGAGAAAATGAATGCCAGTGTAGGATAATGGGATTAATGTGTCACATATTTTAGAAAAATGAAAGAATTTCTGGACAGTCCCACAAAGGTGAGACATATATACAAATATAATGTATTATATAATTATATAAACATACTAACAAATAATTAAACTTTTATTGCTTTCCCAGGGCTAGGGTATATTGGCATAAAGACAATTCAAATTCCATCATTTTAATTACCAGATATAAATAAAAGGAATTATCCTTTTTTGTTTGTTTTTTCTTTTTTAGCCTGGAGATGAATTTTATCCTAGAGATGAGTATGGCAATTGGTTATATCACAATTCAAATCTGTGCGCCACTTGGGAGGTAAGTTCAAATGGGCCTTTTATTCTTTTATTTTAAAAGACTACATTTTTGAATTGTGATCTGATTATTCCTGTTTCATTTAGTAGGAAGAGATGCAGCCTTTATTCTCCCAGAGAATATACTCTAATGAGTACAGTATCTCTTTCTAATGGGTATTCCCCTCTAGGTAACAGTTGAAGACCTGAAGGCTGGAGTTGTTTTGAGGGGTGAGGAGGCAGCTATTAGTTTTCTGGTCCCTGGGGCTTTCTACCTGAGAGAACATATACTCACTCGTGTTATCATTGGAGCTGAGTAGATTTGGTGTTTCTATCTAAGAGTCTGCCTGACAGGGTAGCCAGTATCCCCAGGAGAAAATAGCTCATAGCTCAAAATAACAAGGTATTTATTTCATAAGGAAACAACATATCTCAATTATAGATCCCAACATAAACAGAACAGAGGACCAAGAACTTTTAAATTAGCCAAATAATATATTAAAGTAGATAAGAAAAGATACTAGCAACGTGAAACAAGAACAAGAAAAAAATTTTTTTAAAACAAGCATTAAGCAAGTAATAATTGGGAAAAATAAAACACAATGCAATAGATGGGATAAAAGTGAAATGGATATAAATAAGGAAAATGGGATCACATTGAAAGATCAGAATAAGGAAATCTCCCAATATGAAGTAGGAATAGACAAGAAAAAATTAAATATGAAAGAAAAGCTAAGAGATGTATAGGATACAATTAGAATTTCACTACTCACATATTAGAAAAACAAGAAAGAAAGAAAAAAAGAAAAAGAAAATATTTGAAGGAGGAAAAAAAACAGAGATATTGAACAGGCACAGACTACCAAAGAGGAAAGAAAAGGAAACCCAAACCTAGATACACTATAGAGAAATTAAAGAATATCAAATATAAAGAGAAAATGTTAATGCTTGCAGAGCATAGCAAATAAATCAACAAATGAGACAAAAATAGAATAATAAAAGATAATAAAAGAGAAGGCAGGAAAAGAAAAACAAAAGAAAAATGAATAGGTAGGGAAGTCAAAAACAAATACCAAAATGGGAAGTTTAAACTCAGTGGTATCAATAGTCACAGTATATATACATAGTTGAAACAATACAGTTAAAAGGCAAAGGTTGTCAGAATAGACAAAAAGCAAAACCCCATTATATATTATATACAAGAAACCCATTTTAAATAAAAACATATAAACATATTTAAAGTCAAAGGTTAAAAAAAAAGAAAAGAACAGGGAAAAATATACTAGGCTAACTGAAATAAAAAGAAAGTGGGAGTAGCTATTTTAATATCAACAAAGATTTTGGAGCAGAGTATTACCAGGGATAAAGAAGTTTCTCTAATCTAATAGAAGAGAAACATGCAAATTGACCGCACCTCTGCTATGCCCCAAGCCACACCCACCAGCCAATCATAGCAAATATATGCCAATTAACCCAACCAACATGGCGCCCGGCAGCCACTGAGCTGGAGCAAACAGGAGGCTTGGTTGCCCCGGCGATGGAGGAAGCCAAGCTTCCCGCCTGCCCTGGCCGGCTGTGGCCTCCGCTCAAGGCAACAAAGTTTCAATTATAGAAGATAAATAAATCCCAGATACCTGCTTACAGCCAGTCTCCACTGAGAGCTTGGGTGGCTGGGGCTGTGGCCAGCCTGCAAACAGCCATCAGCCACTCACCCAGGCTGGCCACACCCTCATGGGGTGAAGGTCCCTGCTGGGAGCCT